AGACATGGTAGCCATGGTGGTAGCACATGCAGGAAAACATCCCTTGGTATAGCTGTGCCAGTGGAGGGTCTGCTCATCCATCATTCTTAGCGTCTGGGAAAGAATGTTGCCAGAAAGAGCCCAACATTTAGACTGTGTACAGTCATGTGTACAACCCACGTGATGGAAAAGATGGGTGAAGAGTGCCAGGCCACAGCTTGTAGCATGAGGTGCTACTTGAAAGATCTACAGCACTGTCTGTTAATTGAGAACTGAGCCCAGGACTGATCATTTTCTTGCCTCTTGTGGGGTGTGTGACTGCCCATGGCCTCGGAATGCAGGTTTTCCAGTCTGGAAGCTCATGGTGTGCACAAAACACAGGAGATGGTACAAATCTGTCAGAGAAGCTCTCAGCTGTGAAAGAGCTAATGGATGTTTTCAGAAGTGAGAAGATGCCTGGGACTCAGCTAAACTGCCATCCTGTGTCAGACACATGATGCTGAGGAGGACCAGGCCTCCTGGGGCAAAATGCCTCAGCCCTGAGCCAGATGGCCATGCTGGCCACCACCCTTCCTCTGCTGGCTGATGCCTGCCTGGCTAGTAAAGACACTTTGAGGTGATGACAGTACTGACAGAAACGGCACATTTCAATTAGATATTGGGAAGAAGTTCTTCCCTGTGAGGGTGGTGAGGCCCTGGCACAGGGTGCCCAGAGAATCTGTGGCTGCCTCATCCCTGGAACTGTTTTAAGGACAGGCTGGATGGGCCTTTCCGCACCCTGGTCGAATGGAAGGTGTGCCTGCCCATGGCAGGGGGTTGGAACCAGATGACCTTTAAGGTCCCTTTCAACCCAAAACCATTCTATGATTCCATCACAATACTAATGCTTAGCATGAGAGCTTATTAAATCCTAACCATCCCTTGTTCATCAATAAATTTTATACATTCTGTACACATTGTTTGCAGCACCTCTTTATGCACAGTGACAGTTGCTCAAAATGGCCAGAAATACCAAGGAACCCCTGTGCAAGGAAATGAAGTTGCCTTTAAATCCTGCTGTGCTTTCTCAGATGTGTCCTGTTGGGAGTAAGGCTGCTGTTAGTCTGGGCTGTTCTTGGGGACCACATTGGCAACCTTACTCTATGGCCTTCTCTGGGTGACTGTTAGGAAATTGTTAAGCATTAGCCGTCTGTCTCCAAGCCACATTGTGAAAACACCTGTATAAATGTTTGCTCTTCACCCATCTCCTTTTCTTTCCTCCAAATACTTGACTCTTTCTCCACGTGTGTGTTTTGCTCTTGTCTTAATACTCTTCCAAGTCTGTAAATGCCACTCATTACTTATAATCACCAGCTGTTGTTTTCAGCAGGAGCCCAAAATCTCACCCTCTCTTACAGAAGGACTGAGTTCATGCTTATGTCATGACTTCATGACATTTACGTGGTTGAAATCTTGCCCTTAAGCTTTGCTGTCCTGATCCCAGGTTGGTAAATCAAGCAATTAACATTGAAGAGATTGCAGATTAGTATTTAAAGATATGACATTTAAATTCAAATTACCACAAAATGACTGCAATTTTGGTATGAAAAAACCAAGCTATAAAATTGATGTATTAAACTCTGTAATTTTCTCTAAATTTTATGTTGAAACTGTATTTTCAATGATTTATGACGATACTTAATTTAATCATTCAGCATTTTCCAAAAGGTTTTGTATAAGCAAAGGATGCATCATTTCCCCAGGAGGCTGAATAGCTGTTAGAAGAAATAATTGCTTACATACTGCTCTATTCACATTTAGAGAAGTGTTCAAATTTCTGAAACAAATCAGAATTCAGAAATGGTTCAGATTTATCTATTTATTTTCCCCAAAACATTTATGCACTTGGGGCATAATTCCCAATATATACAATGTAAAAATACAAACCATTATCCTAATGGTTAAGTCATTTAACTGGAGTAAAATAAGAAAATAGAGAAGCTGGTATCAAGTAGCAGTGTAACTACCTGTTCAAAATGGGAGCCAGACTCCATACTGGCTCCTTCCTGGCCAAGCACTTCTTACAGACAAGACCATAGGAAAGTTCTTTGCCCTGGCTTGGTCCTTCTGGTCACTACCTCTTGCAAAGCTGGCTATGTTGCCCCTTGTTGCTATTTACCCTATTTGGCAGTCAGAACAGCTATCTATAAAGTTGGTCACCTCAGGATACAGTGATTATGAAATCCAAGTTACCCCTCAATGGGCAAATGCTGTATCACAGTATCACAGTATGTTAGAGATTGGAAGGGACCTCAAAAGATCATCTAGTCCAATCCCCCTGCCGGAGCAGGAACACCTAGATAAGGTTACACAGGAACGTGTCCAGGCGGGCTTTGAATGTCTCCAAAGAAGGAGATTCCACAACCTCCCTGGGCAGCCTGTTCCAGTGTTCCGTCACCCTCACTGAGAAGAAGTTTCTTCTCAGGTTTAAGTGGAACCTCTTGTGCTCCAATTTGTACCCATTACCCCTTGTCCTTTCATTGTTTGCCACTGAGAAGAGCCTGGCTCCATCCTCGTGACACTCCCCCTTTATATATTTATATACACTAATAAGGTCACCCCTTAATCTCCTCTTCTCCAAACTATAGAGACCCAGCTCCCTCAGTCTTTCCTCATAAGGGAGATGCTCCACTCCCTTAATCATCTTAGTTGCCCTGCGCTGGACTCTCTCCAGCAGGTCCCTGTCCTTTTTAAACTGAGGGGCCCAGAACTGGACACAATATTCCAGATGAGGTCTCACCAGGGCAGAGTAGAGGGGAAGGAGGACCTCTCTCGACCTACTAACCACCCCCCTTCTAATACAACCCAGGATGCCATTGGCCTTCTTGGCCACAAGGGCACAGTGTCGGCTCATGGTCACCCTGTCGTCCACCAGGACCCCCAGGTCCCTCTCCCCTACACTGCTCTCTAACAGGTCGTTCCCCAACCTATACTGGAACCTGGGGTTGTTCCTGCCCAGATGCAGGACTCTACACTTTCCCTTGTTATATTTCATCAAGTTATTCCCCGCCCAACTCTCCAGCCTGTCCAGGTCTCTCTGGATGGCAGCACAGCCTTCTGGCGTGTCGGCCACCCCTCCCAGCTTAGTGTCATCAGCAAACTTGCTGATAGTACACTCAATTCCCTCATCTAAATCGTTGATGAATATATTAAATAATACTGGTCCCAGTACCGACCCTTGAGGCACTCCACTAGTTACAGGCCTCCAACTAGACTCCGCCCCATAGACTACAACTCTCTGGCTTCTCTCCTTCAGCCAGTTCACAGTCCACCTCACTACCCGATCATCCAGACCACACTTCCTCAATTTAGCCGCAAGGATGCTGTGGGAGACCGTGTCAAACGCTTTGCTGAAGTCAAGGTAGACCACATCCACCGCTCTGCCATCATCCATCCACCGTGTTATTTCCTCATAAAAGGCTACGAGATTGGTCAAGCACGACTTCCCCTTGGTGAAGCCATGTTGACTGCCCCTCATAACCCTCTTATCCTTGATATGCCTTAAGATGGCTGTATACACCAGGAAACCTTGATAGACTGCCTGAATTTTGCCTCTTTCATGTTTTAAAAGGGAAAGATAATTTCTCTAAATCACAGAAGGCTATTTTTAATTATTTCTGGTATGTATCGGGGAGCTAAAAATTTGTCATTGTCTATTGGGTTTTGGTAGCGGGGGGCTACAGGGTTGGCTTCTGTGAGAAGCTGCTAGAAGCTTCCCCCATGTCCAATACAGCCAATGCCAGCCAGTTCCAAGACAGACCCATCACTGACCAAGGCTGAGCCCATTGGTGATAGTGGTAGTGCCTCTGGGATAACTTAAGTAAGAAGCAGGGAGGGAGGCAGGGTGGTGGGGAAAGCTGTGCAACAGCAACTGCAGCCAGAGAGGACAGAGTACGTGAAAGCAACAGCTGCAGACACCCATGTCAGTGCAGGAGGCAGGAGGCCCTCCAGGCACCAGAGAAGAGATTCCCCTGCAGCCCATGGTGAGGCAGGCTGTGACCCTGAAGCACATGGGAGGTCCACCGTGGAGCAGATTACACCTGCAGCCAATGAAGCACCCCAAACTGGAACAGGGGGAAGCCCAAAGGAGGCTGTGACCCTGTGGAAAGTTTGCGCTGGAGCAGGCTCCTGGCAGAAGCTGTGGTCCATGAAAAGAGGAGCCCACATGGACCAGATTTGCTGCAGCACTTGGGACCCCACAGGAGACCCACATGGGAGCGGCCTGTTCCTGAAGGGCTGCACCCCGTGGAAGGGACCCAAGCTGGAGCAGTTCATGAAGAACTGCAGCCTGTGGGAAAGACTCATGCTGGAGTTCATGGAGAACTGTCTCCAATGGGAGGGACCCCACACTGGAGAAGGGGAAGAGTGGGAGTAGTCCTTCCCTGAGGAGGGCACAGAGACAAGGTGTGAACTGACCACAACTCCCATTGCACTCAGTGGAGGGGTAGAGAAAATGTGAGTGAAGCTGAGCCCAGGAAGATGGGAGGGGTGAAGGGAAGGTCGTTTAAGATATGGTTTTATTTCTTATTATCCTACTGCAATTTTGATTGGCAATAAATTAGTATTTCCCCAAGTTGAGTCTGTTTGTCCAGTGATGGTAACTGCTGAGCGATCTTCCCTGTCATTACCTTGACCCATGAGCCTTTGGTTGTATTTTCTCTCCTGTGTTCAACTGAGGAGGGCAGTGGCAGAGTGGCTCTGGCAGCCACCTGGTGTCTAAGCCAAGGTCAACCCACCCACATTCCAAAATCTCTGATATCCTTTCCCTTGGGCTACTTGTGTCCAGCTGGTTTGTGTCTCCTTCCTGTTACCTTTCTCAGAGAAGTACTGGTTTGTTTCAGCCCTACTCTGAAGTGCTTCATCTCTCCATTTACCACTGAGAACACAGGCATCAGCAAGTTTAGGGTGCTGCAGCATAGAGTATCCGGGTTTGTCTTCATATGCAGCCCAGTTTCTCTTTAAACAAACAACATCAAGATCAATTTTGGATTGTAGCAGTCAAATTTATTTGCACTGTAGAAGCACACTTGTTTCAGGAATAAAAAAATAACATTTTCTTTGCAGAATAAAAGTAATCCTGTAGTGGTATAAATATATTTACTTGCACAAGAATCCACGTAAGTCACTCAACATATATTCAGATTTAGTATTCTCATATTCCTAAGTTTCAAATGGAGTCAACAAAACATAGCACCTCACAGAAAGGTAAGAAATGTGAAGTCTGGCTCAGCTGGGATTTAAACACGTATGAAATAATAGAAAGCTTCATTTTTTTAATTATTCAATGACTACACTGCTTATGAAAAACAAAAAAATACTGACAGCCTTCAGCACTGACCATCTGTCTAATTAAAGCATACTATATGGTGTCAGCCACAGAAGCTTCTTCTGGCTGCCTCATAGACATGATCTCAGTTCTGGCCAGGCAGAACTAACAAGAGTGTTCTGTCTCTTCACTCCCAAGACTCCCATCACTGGGTACTGTCTTTCAAAGAACAAAGCAGATTTAGCAATTTACTCCAGGGGGCCATCACAGACGTCAGACACCATGCCTCATCAGTCAGTAAGTCCCTATGCTATGCAAACCCAGGTGCCGTGTTCCAGCCTGGTACAACCAACAGTCCAGCTTGCAGTAGGTATGGTTGATATGTAACTTTATCTAGTATGAGTACTTCATGCAAAAGGAAGAACACTGTTTTCTGCACTCCCGTTCAGGCCATGGAACAACAGTAAACAGTGAATTTATCTTGTACTTTAACTTGCTCATAATTCTTGAACTCTTTTTCCAATTGCGAGGGTGGAAAAAAAACAAAATGGAGAAATTAAGTTTAATGAATCAATCTCATCACAACTCTGTTGTTGTGTCTAACTTGCACTTACTGTGTGGTGTATCATCAGCACCGTGTCCTCACAACATATGTTGATTTGTTCTTATCCTTTCTTACTGTTAGCACAGTGAAAAAAGTACAGTGTTCAGCCTTGCTTCTTCTCAATACACCTATGAGAGGAGGATGGAGGACACCAAACTAATACAATACAATACTGAAGACAAGAGAATATAACACTTATTCTGATACACTGAAAAGCAACTTCACACATAAGCTCATTTATGTAGGCACACAGACATACTGAGCACCACTCTTTTTAGGCACACAGACATACTGAGCACCACTCTTTTTCCTTGCCTTTTTTTTCTCCTTTTCCTTTCTTTTTCATTTTAACATTAACATTCAACTCTGAACAAAAGAATGTTTCGCCTCTAGGACAATCTCAGTATTAAGAAAAAAACTACCTCTATTTTACAAACATCAAAACGCTAACGTTGACACTTCCATTGAGAAGTTCACTGCAAGTGACCCTCTCTCTGAATTCGAAGGCGCTCCTTCTCCACTTGCAAGCGTTCCTTCTCGATCTGCAGCTTCTCTGACTCAAACTTTAGGAACTGCAGCCTCTCTTTCTCTAACTGCAAACGTTCTTTTTCAAGTTTTAACTTCTCAGTTTCTAGATCCAGTGGCTGCATGATGGGTTTTTCAGTTTGGGTGAGGTCATTTTCCAGGGCAGGTTTTTCAGCATTCAGTCTCTCTAGCCTCAGCTTCTCCCATTCGATCTGAAGCCGCTCCTTCTCAATCTGAAGTCTCTCACGCTCCACATCAACATGCCGCAACCGCTCTTTTTCTATTTGCAGGCGCTCCTTCTCCACTTGCAACCTTTCCGCTTCAATATCTAGTCGCTGCTTCTCCAGCTCCACCTTCTGCTTCTCCAGATTTATAAGCAAGTGAGAATCTTCATAGGCTAGCCTAGCTTGAACAGAGTTTATACTTCCAAACTCTTCAATCTGGGGGAATTCTGGTAGGTCATTTTCCTTTTTTGAATCTGGCAAAACTGATGACAAAATTTCTTCTTCTTCCTCAATAGGAAACTGCAGAGAGGAATGCAATGGAGAAGAATTATATTACAGTCTTCGTGCCAGAATAAATTTTTTACAAACAACCAAAAAGAACATACTGTTTTTTCCCATCTTAAAAGCTACTCAGAACTGTTTAACTCACATGCTGAGAAATAACCATGTTAGATAAAATAAGGGTTTCCTACCATTATACATGTAGAGAAACACACTACAAGTTAGTATCTGGTAATGAAAACCAGTATATCAGTTTATTAGATAAAAAAATGGATCTAAAAATGTGTATGTTGTTCTTGCTTTTCATATAGCTGAATGGCATTTATGTAAGCCACTAGGAATTTGTTCTGACTAATTATTTATAAGAGCAGCTGGATCCATAAGCTATGCGCAATGTAAGCTAAACCAGCCTTCATTAATTTGAGGATTCCATTTCTAAAAAACATTTAACACGGACATTTTTTACAGGCTCCTAACCCTCCCAACTGTATTATGTGGGTCAATAAACAGAACATGTTTAACCAATTTTGTATTATCACATTTACTGTAAAGCTATTTATGACACAGGTGACTACGTGGTAAGGACCATTGCTCTTGGCAGAGTGTAACAACTTGTGCAGAATTACAACCCTTATGTACTACAAATTCATAGCACACAAGGAATTATGATCTCCCACGAAACATGTTGCAAAGAAAAAGGTAAACTGATGAAGACAGTTCAGAAAAATCTTAAGATAATGAGAGGTGCAGCCAGTCCTCTAGCATTACAGCAGACATTGTTTTTCAGCAGTTGTTAGTCAGTAGTCTCACTACCATTAAACAGCTTACGCTGGTTTCTTCCCAGCACACATCTCAACTGAGCTGACAGTAGTTGCTATTTCCCACCTCCTGTAATGTCCGTGTCATGTCCCTGCCACCCCCAACCCCAATTTTCCCAAAACAAAACCCAAACTCTTTGAGCACTACTTTTCCAAGTGAGACCCGTATATTTGTACAGGTACAACAAAACTACCCAGACATTTGACTTCACTCTAGCTGGTTGCCTATCTCAGGATCATGATACTGCTAGAAGTAACAACTTGTCTACATGATCCACAGCTGGCTGTCAAGTTCATACTAAAATCTGTCAGGGAGGAATGGATGACTGACATATTCAAGTAATGTTTTAATCTCCTGTGGGTTCACTTTTAAAAATGCAAACAGTATCCTATTTCTCTCTGTATGCTATTTCTTTCTGTACCTGCAGATATCATATACTTTCATTTGTTAAAGAGGTGCATTTCTCTGGATATTCACCCACCCAGACAGCCTAAGTATTAACCAGTTTCCTTCAACAACGTATTTTCATTCTATTGACTTAACTAATTCTATCTATGGCACATACAAATGGAAAATGTATGTGCAAAAACATATTCAGAGTTGAAGTATATCAATTTAATAATCAACATCTAAGAGCTTACACACAATTGCAAGTTGCTAGATTTGAATACCATCTCTCTGAAACATATTTGTTTCTACAGTTTCTTTAATTCACACATTCAGAAAAAAACAGGAACAGATGCTATGAAGAAACACAGCAAAAAGCCTTCTGCTGAAATGAAATGAAGGCCATATTGCATACAGCTAATGTATGTCAGTCACTCACTTCAAAATTCTGTGGATCCTCCTCTTCCTCTTCTACTTTGATTTCTGTTAAAGATCCACCGGCTTCTCTGAAGTCAGTGATATTTTGCCATTCAAAACTAGATTCAATTGCAAATCCCATTTTCTCATCCATGTCTTCATTGAGAGAGTCATCTAAATTGGATGAAGGAAGGTGAAACCCAGCACCTACTACTTTGATGTTTGCATTCAGACGTTTTCTCTTCATAAGTGCTCTCCAGTCAAGGTATCTCCTTTTCACTTCTGTCCCTGTTCTTTGTTCTCCTTCACCTACAGCATTTACACACTCTGCTATATCCTCCCAAGCTTTTCGTTTCAACTCATTAATTGTTGTATTAAGTTGCTTTGAAAAGAGTACTTCTCTCCTTTTCCTGATTTCCTTAAGGAGTGTTTGAGTTTCCTGAACGCTAAAATTGCTTTTCCTTTTTCTTTTTAATTGTTTCATTTTTTCCAGCTTTAACCTAATAATTTCACCACAGTAGACTACAGAGATGATCTGACACTAATCAGTTATTAATATAAATAAAATTTAAAAGCCACTGAAAGCAGAGCTCAGTTCTCGTGAATTTTCTCTTCACTTTGTAGTATTTTCCTATTTGTCAGGCTTCCTAAGAGAAAAAGAGCAAACAATATAAATCTGCAAAGTGTACACTGTATATCTTCATTTAATGAACTTGACCCCTAAGTCCCCATTTAAAACATGCTTATTTCAAACAGATCATTCATTCAACAGAAGCAAACCATTTTGTTAAATTGTGGATATAAAGTAGCTACAGATACCTTCTGTAACCTCTGATGAATTATAAATCCATTAATATATCCATGTACCAAACCCTTAAGGGTGAGCTGGTATTTCCATTACAAAAGTACAGCTATTCCTTCAACTCTTACAGTTTTGCCAGTCAGGATTAGCTTAATGCTCAAATTTGACACACACATTTCAGTTTGAATGCTAAATGATTTCCAAAATAAGCTGAAACTGTTGTATTAGTATTTCAGAAACATGAAATGTTATGAGGACTGAAATTTCTGAGATACATTTTAAATAAGACACCATATCCATGGAAAAAAAAAAAGGAAAAAAAAAAGTAGATTAATGAAGAGTTGTTCTGAAGACTCTTCTAACTCTTCTTAATCACAAAAAAAAACCAAAACCAAACCTGGAGCAATTCTGCGAAGTGTCAGAAAATAACTACTAGTTCAAACACGTCATCCATTAGAGAAACAGATTTAGGAATAAGTTACTTGACGTTCATGGTAAAGCCCTCCTCTACCCTTCTCACACTGCGAAACACCTCATGTCAGATGTGATGGCAAGTTGCAAGTTCTTCCAGGCCTCTACCCCCAGCAATAGCTGGCACTATGCCTGATGCTGAAGAGAAAGCTAAACCCCATAATGATCCAACTTAGCGTTTATTTTGCACTTTCTTTTGTACCACATTACCTGCCACTTTAGGTAGGTTTAAAAGGCTTTAAACAAAGTAGGCCAACCATTCACTATACAGTACTTAAAAGTTTCAAGCTGTTATATTCGTTCGCTATTAATCTAGTATAGACTTCTTGTCCACCTGAAGCAAATTGCTCGAATATTACATACTTAATAGCTACTAATTGGACTTAATCCTTAACTCCTCCCCAGCTATACAGGATTCTTAAATTACTATTTTTTTTTCTCCTGATATTCTCCTAAACTTGGTTAAAACACACACATCAGCAAATTACATAAAACCTCTTCATTTTGAGGATAATGCACATAATAGTTTAGACATAGTTCTTGGCCTCCTATGTGCTATTGACTGTAAATAAGCGTCTCGCTTGCAAAGTTTCGCGTATCATGCAACATTCTTTCACACGTAACACATATGCATATTGGCATTAAGTTTTAAAAGTTGTAGTCAGGAAATGGTTTCACTACTTTTCCTTGTTAAAATACTGCCCTCACTGTGAATCCATTTACTTCTGATGGTACCAGCTTGCAAATTTGCAAAACCTAGTCCCTAGATTTCAACTGCATGAAGCGTTGCATGAGCTTGTAACAGCATGGACCGCTCTACATGCTCATATGCACTTTTGACTCCTCAATACAAGTTGGAAGCTGGATGTTGCTGTTTAAGACAGATGAAACTTCCTGCCCCTCTGAAAATAAAATACTAATTAGTCTTGAGAAAAAGGAAGTATTAAAAAAAAAAATATATATATAACCTACTGTTGTAATGTAGACCCTTGGCATGACCAGAACTGAGAAAAACAGCTGCTGTTTAATAAGTCAGATTTATGCCAGAACAGAGCACTGTAATTGCTGGAATTAACACCAAATTTTTTTGAGATCTTTAGTCTAATCTTTATGTGTCTCCCTTAATGTCCATTATGATAAGTTTACCACAAAAAAAGATACCTGGTCTTTCAAGGAAGCAGCATCATATTTACTCACCTGGCAGTAAATCAACTTATTTGGTACTTGCTGTTCTTTTCAAATGCAAATACAGCATTAATACTTCTCTACTATTGCAGCAACTGAATTTCTTGATCTGTGTATCAATTACGTTTTTTTTTTTTAAAAGCAGGTAAATTCTTTGGAGAAGTTACCTGCACACAGAACGAATTAAGAGCCCTTTTAGAAGCTTCACTGTTAATAAGACAATTATTCTGGACTGACAAATGCATAGGTTTAAGCCGCGATTCCTGGTTACTGAGGAATGACAAGTATTAACCAGGTCAATGACTCTGATCTTCACTGTGACTTTAGAAACACACGTATTTGCACCCACTTGTTTTCAGGGTGGGGAGTGTGTGTGAAATAGAGGTATTCAATTTGTCTTCCAGGCAAAAGAATTACATAGAGTTCTTGCACATAAGTTTCAGAAAAATTACAGTATTTTTGACTTCTCACTACCAAGACACTGAACTTCTGTTTATAAGGTCACATTTTTACTGAAATCAGTAGCATTTCATATTTGATTTCAAGCCATAAGTACATACTTAAATGAATATTCAAGTATTTTGCTAATACTGAAAAACGAATAAGACTTGCCAAAGTAGTTGCCGGTTGGATATATCAAACTCTAGGAAGTACTAGTAGATACTTGTCTCTTAAGGTACCTAAATGTCAGACTTTTGCTGAATCACAGCCATTTTCAGCTCAAGATATACACTGGCTAAGTCCTTTACCTAGCCCCTGCTGGGATGAACAAGGCTCTGGTCATTCTCCAAGTAACAGGGAACTACAGCATTTTAGAGACTCATATGGTATCTCTATTTGGCCTGGCCCACCCTGAATTTCACAGTGCTAACACAGCAGGATAAAGTGGGCACAAACACAGAGCAAAGTGTTTTCAAATAAAACTTTAAAGAGCACTATTTTCTAAATACAATTCTGCACAAATGCAGGAGACTCAGCCAGCCAAGCTTTCACCTTGGCTCCAAAGATGGTTCAGACTTAAACCACATAAATGTCAGGTCACCCTGCGGGTCAGCCTCACTGCTCCTTGTGCAGGTGTTGTGCATCACCTGTCTGATTTACCCAGGCGCTCTTTGTGAGGTGCCTAATTGTGGGTTTGGATTTTATGCCATAAGCCAAGCACATAACCTTTAAAGAATTATAATGCTAACGTGGAAACTACTGGAGTCCAATTCCTTTGTTATGTGAAGTTTTGACTTTTTTACCCCCCCCCCGAACATGTTTCCCCTAGAACTCCCAGTAAAAGGGCAGCAAAATCTTCCTATTTTAAAATTTACGACTAACTTCTAATTGGTAAGGACATCTCACCTTTTCTAATTCTTTCTTTTTTGAAAGCATACTGCTTCATTAAAGACAATTCCTTTCTTATTAACACAAGCAGGTGGTAATGAACTGTCTTAACAGTATATTGACTCTGTTAGATAAACTCCACTATGGGCCTGTTTGCCTTTCTAACATATTAGCTGAAAAGCATTATTACGTAACTAAGGCTGAGGTTTGCGGTATCCTGTTTTCTGACATTGCTAGATGTAACCAGGATATTACTCCTAACATGTGCAAAGTATATAAGTGGACAGAAATAGTAATAAGCGAGAATTTGTATACATTCTAGCTAAGTTACAGAAAAAAACCCCAACCTAAACCCCAAAGCAACAAAAACTATTACCATGTCTAAAGATGTGATTTAAAAAAACATGACATAGAGCAGTGTTCTGAACTTGGCTGGGACAGAGTTAATTTTCTTCCTAGTAGATGGTACAATGCTGTGTTTTGGACTGAGTTTGAGAATAATGCCGATAACACACTGATGCTTTTACCCTAAGTCAAGGACTTTTCAGTCTCTCATGCTCTGCCAGTGAGGAGGGGAACATGAAGCCAGGAGGAAGCAGAGACAGGACACCTGACCCAAACTGGCCAAAGAAGTATTCCATACCACAGCACTTCATGCCCAGTATATAAACTGAGGGGAGTCACCCGGAAGGGCAGATAGCTGGTCAGGTCCATCTGGGTATCAGGCAGTGGTTGGTGAGCAACTGTATTGTGCATCATTTGTTTTATTCATCTCCCTCTTTTTGTTATTGCCCTTTCCATTATCCCCCCCCCCCCCCCCTTTCAATTATTACAGTTCTGATCTCAACCATAGATTTTACCTTTCTTCTGATTCGCCTCCCCAACCCACCAGGGGGAGTAAGCAAGCAGCTGAATGGTACTCAGCTGCAGGTTAAACCATGACAGCATATTCAAGTCTTGCTTTGATATGAAGTCTAAAACATGAAATGCATACAGCTGGGAAAAACAAAACAAAACAACAACACAGCAGACAGACATTACAGGTTTTCTGAAATCAGAACCATAACTGCTGTACAATTAAGTGTCTTTAGCTGAAGATTCCACAGTATGTATCTGCTGAGAACACCAACTGGCAAGATGGGCAGTTCACTCAGAAAAAGTATGTGAAGATCAGAGCAGAGATGCAACAAAACAAAACAAAATAGCAACAACAAACAAACAAACAAAAACAAACAAACAAAAAACCTTCACTATGAAAGCAAGAGAACACATCTGCAAGAAAAAAAATCCTTCTCAACTATACAACCAAAATTACTTCTGGTACACAACCAAAGGTATCAATCAGCCGACAAGGAAAAGTTACAGTCTGGTCAAGTGAGAAAGAAATCCATGGGAAATAGCAGGATGCAAACAGCCCATTACATGAGACACAAAGCGCTGGCAAGGAAAACAGAAACAATTTTGATCATGTGATAACAAAGATTTCAAGGGTCTTCCAGGAGAGAGCAACATGCAGCTATGAGCTTATCTGCCAGGCCAGAAGCAATCTGTGGCCAAGAAGGTCCTCACCACTGAAGAAACACAAAGCATTTGTCAGCACTGAAACAAAACAAGTGTTGCAGAACTGAACAGAACACTCCATAAACACAAAGAACACATATATACACTGAACAGCTTTGATGTACTTAATGACACAGGCATCCACATTCTGCCTCTGTGTCTTTTTGTACAACCACAAGCTGGACCAACAAAACATCAACAAACTAACCAAACCAACAGAAAACAAGCAAGTAAACAAATCCATGCAGTCACCAAGACTAAATGTTGCTAGCATTAAACTGGAATTATTCTCTAGAAAAATCATGACTTTTGTTTTTCAGAAGTATGTATTGATGGTTTGCCTTTTTCTTTAGAAGGCCCCAAAACCTCCTCAAAAAAGCCTACCAAACCTTTTGAAGCTTATGTTGATGAGAAAAAAACTTCAAACCAGGAGGACCTGTTACCTCTATTTCCCTTAAATGATAACAGATTCGGATGATCTCTGCATGATGCTAAAGCTTAGGGCTTTCTGGAAAACTTTGATTCATGATGGATGACTACTTGGCTTGGCAAAACTTCTGCTTTTGTACTAAGACAGGCTTTAGTACAGGAGGATCTGGGTGCTGCCAAGCACGCCACTCCTTGGACAGTCCTTTCTGCAAAAATCTTGCGTTTTGAGAACATAAAAAGCCAAGCGCTAAACGGAACAAACAACACCTAAAGGGTAATTTAACGAAACAAAGAGAAGGTACCGAGGCCGGAAAGCCGCTCCGGAGTC